CTTGTGAACCTCTGAAACTGAAGCAAAAATAAAAGCCGAGCAGGGGCAGGGTGACGGGTGGTAAGAAGGAGAGAATAAAGGAATTGAATTGATCAAGCCTGAATGTGCCAGATCACTCCTTATCAATCATCACCAGATTGCCCGTATTAGCCTGTCCCTGGGAAAGTGACTGGTCCCAGGAGAACCTCAGAAAACTGACTCAGTTTCTCAGTTAGTTAAACCAACAATGCTGTATTACGAACCAGAATCGCCTCAGTTCTGGCTTCTAGGTCCCGGCTCGTACCAATTGGTCTTGGGACAGCCACATGTAAGTGAAAATACAGTGAAAATCAGCATGATCATACTCAGATTAATATTCAGGGCGAATCGAGCACAAACAAAAAATAAAGAGAACAGGGTCGAGTCAATTTTGGTGGCTGTCCTCCTCTCCCTCCCTCTCCCCTACATGATGATGGTTTGCACCAGAATATCAGCAAGAACAACACAAGGTACTACAAAAATGAAGCACCTTTCGTTTGCTGCTGGTGGTAGAAGATCTGACAACACTACGCATGACAGAGCGGTGGTGTGCTCTACACTCTCCTGACCAATAGTTATTCCCCATATAAACCCCAATTTTTGAACGCACAGTTCGATCAATTGCCTCACTGCAGTTTGTGGGATCTCACTATGCCCACATTGGCATCCACAGGTCCTACATTCCAGCAGTGACTATACTCGCAATTAGTAATGCAGGGAACCTTTGGGCATCCTGAGATGAGGAGAAGCGAATGTTTTCACTACTATGTTCGAAACGTGACTGCGAAGTTCGTAATTTACACCGAGATTGGCCACCACTCCCGAGTCTATGAGGCTGCACAATGTAGCATGAAGAGCTCTCACAGTTACAATGAAACACAGGTTTCAATGGCATTCTGTGGGTCTTGTCTCACTGGATATTTTTGTGCTGAGATCCGTTGTGCAGCTTTCCCTTTTACAGTCAGACACGACTCACACTAGAGTTGGAGATAGTAGGAACTGCCGATGCTGGAGTCTGAGAAAGCAAGGCGTAGAGCTGGATGAACACAGCAGGCCAAGCAGCATCAGAGGAGCAGGAAATCTTTTCTGAAGAAGAGTCCAGACCCGAAACGTCAGCTTTCCTGCTCCTCTGATGCTGCCTGGCCTGCTGTGTACATCCAGCTCTACACCTTGTTATCTCACACTAGAGTTGATGGTTTAATAAAGCAATGGGTATAGTGTATCCCGCATTTGCTTCCTTGTCACCTCTCCCCTTTGTCCATATGCCTTTCTGAATATTCCTGCCCATTGTACCATGATGACCATCTTACACTATGTTCAATTCTGGTCTCCCGGCTACAGGAAAGATGTTAAACTAGAAAGGGTGCAGAAAAAAAGTTGACAAGGATGTTGCTGAGGCTGGAGGGTTTGAGCTATAGGGAAAGGCTGCATAGGCTGGGGCTATTTTCCCTGGAGAGTCCGAGACTGAGGGGTGACCGTATAGATGTTTAGGTGCATGGATAGGGTGAATAGCTAAGGTATTTTTTTTTTTAACCAGGGTAGTGGAGTCCAAAACTCGAGGGCTTAGGTTTAAGGTTAGAGGAGAAAGATATAAAAGGGACCAAAGGGGAATCTTTTTCGCACAGAGGGTGGTGTGTGTATGGAATGAGCTGCCAGGGGAAGTGGTAGAGACTGGTACAACTACAACATTTAAAAGGCATCTGGATGGGTACATGAATAGGAAGGGTTGAGAAGGATATGGGCCAAATGGTGGCAAATGGATCTAGATTCATTTATGTTATCTGGTCGGCATGGACGAGTTGGACAAAAGGTTCTGTTCCCGTGCTGTGCATCTCTATGACTTCCTCCTCCAGTCTCAAGTATTCCAATGCTCTCCTGACTGGCCTCCCATCCTCCAACATCCAGAATCTTCAGTTCATCTAACACACCTTATCTTGTATCCTAGCGCACAATACCGACCCCCGGCACCGCCAGCACATGCTCAATGACCTGTGTGGCTCCATCATGCAATGAACATGGATTTCAAAGATCCATACCGGAATCGAAACGTTAACTGTTTCTCTCTCTAAAGATGCTTCCAGGTCTGCTGAGTTTCTGCAGCACTGTCTGTTTTTATTTAAAGCTCTCATCCTTGCTTTCAAATTGCTCCAAACCTCCCTATCTCTGTAACTTGTTCCAACTCTTTATCCTCCAAGATCTGTGTCTCTAAAACTCTGGCCTCTTGCTCAACATTATTCTGAACTGGAATTCCCCTCTCCTCCTTTAAGATTGCATCGCTGCAACCCTCATTCTCTAACCTAACTTTTACACACTTGACATAATGGGGGGTCAATGTCAATAGTTGTTTGATTATCTCCTGAAAAAGCATACTGGAATACTTTGATGCATTAAAGACGCTATACAAATGTAATTTTTTGTTAGTTCTAAATACCAATAGCGATGAAATCAATAAGCTAGCACATGATGATGGGGGAGGGGGGATATCAGGACACTGTCTCACATGCCCAGGGACATCAAAGTCGACACCATGTGGTCAGTCTCTGTGGCAGTTGGACAATAGATCAATCTAAAAATCAGAGCAATTTTACACAATGAGGCATTTAGACACAACAAATTGCTCTTCACGAAAGCAGATTACAGCTGTCGTAGATGTACTACGTCTATGGCAAGTAACCCATCTACCCTGATTCCTGTTTTTACATTCTTGATATTAATTTTTCTTGACCACAAGACCCGAGCACGATTCTCATTCTGCAGTCTGTCTAGAGAAGTTGGTTTTAGCCAGTGAAGTGCATTATCCCGCTCCCCGGATGTGAAAACAGGAAACAATATAAGGAATAAGTCGCAATATGTGCAGAACGAAAGAGAGTTAATTAACATTTCACGTCAATGATCTTTCATCAATATGGAATCATATCTGTATGAATGCTCATTAACCAGAAATGTTGTTTCTGTCTCTCTTTACCGATACTACCAGATCCACTGAGTATTTACAGCATTTCCATATTTCATATTTCCACTGTTTTGTCTCTATAATGATGGAAAGTGACCTAAAACCCCAGCATTCGATCAGTAATTTCAAAAAGGAAAAGGGATCAAATCCCAAACAACGGAGAAAGAGAATGGGGCTTGCAGATTGTGGAGGGGCTGAGATGGATGTTGCTAAACGCACATCCCTTTGTACAACTCGATAAGGAAGAGGGACATCTAGTATTAGTTTGAATGGGAACACCTATCGTGGCATATACACAGACACACACCCAGACATACACACATAACTCAGAGACAGACGCAAAGAGGCAGACATACACACAATGACAGGTACACACACTGAGACATACATACACAGAGACAGACATAGTCATACATACAGACAAACACACACAACAGACAGAGATAGACACACTCAGACATACACACAGAGACAGACATACACATCAGATAGAGATAGATATACACAGAGTCAGACACACACACGGACACCAGATGATCATGCACACATACATCAAACTGTGTAAAGTTTAAACCCCTGTACCGAAGGATGCAAACAACAGGATTGCTTTACAACTGAGGCGTGACAAGTCAGCGATCGCAAGCAACTGCCACCCAATACATGACAAGCAACACTTACCCTCGCAAACAATCAAACATTCCCTAGTGGCTGTATATCAAGACATCATTGCAAGTTCTTCCATCCTGCAGCTCCGATCTACTATTCAACCCCCCACCTCCCCACCAAATTAAATTTATGCAGTGAACACGCTCAGAAGCACGATCCACACAAACTAAATGCACAAGCTGCACCCTGATATTCATCTAGCGCACAGGGCAACTGAATAATGTGAAGTAAGGTTCCAAAGCCATGTTAAACATAAGACAAAGGCATAAGTGGGCCAGATGTGAGTCCGTTACAGCACACAACACAAATGCTGGCACAACGTGCGAGACTTCTGCTGGTTATTGTCTATTCCTGTCGAATGTGATTCAGTCTCAGTTCCATTGCAGCACAGGTAGTGAGAGCAGAGGCACTGCACACAGTAGATGCTGCCTGGCAGTGTATGAGTGTATGTGAGAGAGAGAGAAAGTGACTCCATACATGAGAGAGCGTGCGAGAATGAGGGGGAGGGGAGGAGAGGGTCAGAAGGTAGGGTGGAGAGAGGTAGGGGAAAACAGGGAGGGGTAGAAGAGGGGGAAGATCAAAGAGAAAGGGAGGGGAGAGACAAAGGGAGAGAGGGGGAGGATGGGGAGGATGGGGAGGAGGAAGGGGAGGGAGGAGGAAGAGGGAACGGAGAGAGGGCACAGGGGAGCAGCAAGGGGGAAAAAGATGGGGAGTGGGTGAAGAGAGATGGGAAGTGGGGAGAGAGATGGGAAGGGGGAGAGAGATGGGAAGGGGGGGGGAGAGGGGAAGGGGGAGAGGGAAGGGAAGGGGGAGAGATAGGAAGGGGGGAGAGATAGGAAGGTGGGAGAGATGGGAAGGGGAGGAGAGAGGGAGAGAGGGAGGAGGAAGAGAGGTGGGGAGAAAGGGGGGAACATAAGAAAGATTATGAAAGTGTGTTAGAGAAGGGAGAAAGTGAGACAGTGTGTGTGTGCTTGTAAGAGAGAGGGAGAGAGAGCAAATGTGTGCAAGGGGAAGGAAAGGAAAGAGAAAGAAAGAAAGAGATGTTTTGAGCTTGGAAGCTCATAGGTGTGTGTGTATGTTCTGTCAGGCTGTCTGTGTTTACAATGTCACACTTTCAACACCTCCACCCGCCTCGCCCACCACACACACAAACACAGAGACACCCACACAGACACCCACCCACACACTCACATAGGCACCCACCCACACAGTCACCCATACAGACACACCATTAACTAATTTGAGACCAGTACATGCACTTTGGAGAACAGCAAGAGTTTAAATTGGAAACACGCAGGGAATTGAAGAGAATTGTGAACAAAGGTGGCCAGCGGCTGGCAGCTGAGGAAGAGTTAACACTAACCTGCTCTCTTCCTGACTGGTCTCTTTTTGCCACTACAGAACCTGACTTTGGAGAAGACCCCGAGGCCGTGTCTCTCACACAAGGACTTCTTGGCTTTGTTGGGGCTGCTCCTCCGCTTGGTTGCTGACACTCGGTCGGTGTTGTTCTCTCTCGCCTGCCGCTTCTGCCGGATCAGGGAGCTGGCAAGAGCCGCTGCCATATCCCAGCCTGGGGGGGCAGCATTCACCAGAGAGAGAGGGGTGGGGGGGGGGGGGGGGGTTACGGGAACAGAAATCAAACCCTGGGTCAAGAGTGCAAATTAACAGAACATAGAGAAGCCAAGCTGCCCTCTTCAAAGAAAACGAAAGCTGGGAGGAGGGGGTCAAGTCCAAACATCAGGGATCAAGACAAAACATCAGGGATCTCCCAGCTCCCTCCCCCCGGACACCAGGGACATCCCCGACCCCTAATCAAGGAGGGGACTGACGAATAGGAAGATCCCAGCTTTCAGGAGCTCCTGTTCTAAGCTCAGAGGCTGCAAAGCAGCTTCACACAGACTCCCCTTGAAGACAAGACAGAAAAAGTCCCCCCTCTCTCTCTCTGTGAAAAGTCCAGTAAGTAAATGTCGCTGTTAATTCCAGATAAAAAGGCAAGTCCAGGCTCGTGGCTCTGCTCTCAGCTGTCCTTGCTTCTAGCAGTTCGGGTTTAAACAGCGGCGGGATGGCGAGCACGCTGATTCTATACGGTTTCGCACAGTCTCCCGGGCACTTCTTATCCAGACCATCTCTCCCGGAACACCCCCCCACTGACCCACCCTCCTCCAGCTCCTGCTTCCAGAGATCAGCCCGAGCTGTAACTTCTCGTCCTCAGGAGGAGCAGCTTCTACCTACAGCCCCCCTGTCTCTCCCAGAGAGAAAATGACACGCCAGGGAGCGTCAGGCAGTTTCCAACTTGGCACCAGGTCCAGGGATATCTCCCGAAGCTGCTCCACATTGAGCCCCGGCTTCTCAATCCCCAGAGCAGGAAAGGTGCAGGACTGGGTCACTCTCCGATCCTCCTGTCGCTTGTGCAGCTTCTCCCAAACTGCTACGCAATTGTACGTGAGTGAGATTTGGATGAAGCTTGTAGATCGAGGCAGTGCCAAGAGGATTAGAGAGGAACTGCGGCTGCAAACACATGCTCCAGACCATCCGAATCGATCCTTCCCCTAGTAAACCTCACAGTGTTCACAGAAACACCCACAAAATACCGTATACACTGAAACACACACGAAATACAGTATTCACAGAACCACAAAATAGAGTGCACACGCGAAATATACACAGAAACACACAAAATAGTGTTCACAGAAACACACACACAATGGAGTGTTCACAGAAAGACACACAAAATAGAGTGGACACAGAAACACACACACAATGGAGTGTTCACAGAAAGACACACAAAATAGAGTGGACACAGAAACACACCACATACAGTGTACACAGAAACACATAGAGTGGACACAGAGACAACAGTGTACATAAAATCACGCACTACAGAGTTCACAGAACAATATACATTGTACAGACACAAAAGTATACACACAAACATACACAATATACAGTATACACTGACATAACATAAGGTGATCAGAAACACACAATATAGTGTACACAGACATATAGGTGTGCACAGAAACACGTGATACATACAGGGGCAAGCGCAATATACACAAAATCATACAAAGAACTGATACAGACATACTTTATATATGGAAAATACACATGCACACTGCACATTGTACACAGACACACTGTATTCACACACAGCCTACACGGATACACAAGAACGTGGAGATCAATGGTAATAATTTGCTGATGATACAGAACTAAATAGGAATGTAAGTTGTGAAGAGGACACAGGAGGCTTCAATAGCACTTCAACAGACTGGATGAATAGGGTAGAACATGGTAAATGGAATATAATATAAATAAATATCAAATTATGCATTCGGTAGAAAAAAAACAGAAAGACAGATTGTTTCTGAAATGCTGGACCATTGTGAAGTGCAGGTGTCCAAAGGGATCTGGGTGTCATTGGTCATGAGTCACTAAAAGCTAGCATGCAGGTCAACAAGCAATTTGGAAGATAAATGGTGCACTGGCTCTCATCACAACGGGATTTGAGCACTGAAACCAAAAAGATGTCTTGCTGCTGTTGTATTGAGTCTTGATGGAGTATTGTGTACTTTGCCTTGTCGAAGGAAGGATATACCTGCTATAAACAGAGTGCAACAGAGGTTTACCAGATTAATCCTTGGTATGCTGGTATTATTTTATGAGGAGAGGAATCTAGGCCTGTATTCTCTCAAGCTTTAAATAACGAGGTGATCTGATTGAACCTTATAAATTTCTTACAGGGTAGATGGCGATAGGATGTTTCCCCTGACTGACAGCTCTGGAACTGGTAACACAATCTCAGGATAAGGGACAGACTGAGATGAGGGAGAGTTTCTTCACTCAGAGGGTTATGAACCTTTGGAAGTCTCTACTCCAGAGGGCTATGGGATCTCAGTCACTGAGTGTGTATATGGCAGAAAATAATAGATTTCTGGAAACTGAGGATATTGAGAGGGGACAGTGCAGGAGAGTCGCATTGAGAAGATGATCAGCCATGATCTAGAATGGATTAGATGGTCTACTCCTATTCCTATATCGAGACAGAGGTTTCACTGAGAGGGTTGAGAGTCTTTGCAGTTCAGGGCTGTGGAAGTTTTGTCATTGAGTATATTTAAGATTGAGATAGAGCTCTGGTCTGGCAGGGATTAGAGTCATACGGAAAACAAGCAGGAAGGTGGAATTGAGGCAGCACATCAGCAAGATGTTCAACTTGAATAGCAGAGCAGATTTGACGTATAGTATGGTCTCCTCTTCCTGTTTCATATGTACACACAGACACACACTGCAAAGATGTTGCACATTGCAGAGATGTACACAGGAGGCACACACTTAAGGGAAGGAATTGGGGTACTGGTAGTGTCGCTAGCCAATAACCCCAAGTCCCAGGCTAATGTTTTAGGGGATAGATTGAAATCCCACCTTGGTGCAATGGTGACCATGAGACCACTATTGATTGTTGTTGAAAACCCATCCTGTCACTAATGTCCTTTAGGGAAGGAAATCTGCCATCCTTACCCAGTCAGGTCTACATGTGACTCAAACACATAGCAATGTTGTTGTCTTCTCTGAAATGGCCTGGACAGCCAATCAATTCTAAGGATGGGCAACAAATGCTGGTGTTGCCAGCAACAGCCGTAACCCATACAGTAAGAAAGAAGCAAAGTGTGGAGATTTACACAGCCACAAACATCTACAGATAGAGAAACAAATGCAGTTGGAAACACGGAATGTGATAGCACAGAAACAGGCCATTTAGCCCAGCTAGTCTATGCCAGCATTTATGATCTACACAATACACCGATATACGAATATATTGTCATAGAGTTTTACATAGAAAGAATTACAAAAACATTTACAATAAGCACGCTTCGCTATTTACTGTCAGAAAAAAATATATTCACTTGGGCATACATCATATATCCCTGATATCTGAACTTAGAATGTCTCAAACAGGGAGTCGGATGGAGCTAGGCTTGATCTGATCGGCTGGGTAGGAAAACCATGGGATCAGGAGGAACGCCCGCTTCAGTCTCCCTCTGAAATTATTCCCTACTCAAAATGAAAAATGAACTCAGTGAGGGTGGAAAACCCAAATTTCACCCAAACCCATCAGTTTGAGACAAGCAGTTCAGGTTAAAATTGCTACAATAGACTTTTAAAGGCATTCAAACAAGCACTCAGCACTCACGGATTGTTGTTTACAAATCCATCTATGTATGAATGTGACACCCACACATATGCATAAATAATCACACAGGCCTTTTATTAAAAAAATCATTCTCAGAACGTGGGCAGCATTGGCAAGTCTACTGTTTATCGTCCATCCTGGATTGTTGCTTTTAATGAAATGGGGTGCCTTGCCAGGCCACGCCAGAGGCAGTTAAAGTCAACCATGATGGTGTAGGTCTAGCATTGCATAGAGACCCTCATGAGGTAAGGGCAACAGATTTTCATCTCCAAAGGGAACCACTTGCATTTGATCTCATTTGAAAGCCTCACAGTTTATTTTACTGAAACCAGCTGATTATCTTCAGCAATGGGAGAGACATAGACAAGAAGCTCCCCGTGAAATTTGCTTGATCCATCAGGTCGAAACTCTTTCCCTAATATTAGAAAACATACTTTGGATGCAAGTCCATATTGTTATGTAGAAACACCGCAAGATGCTGAAAAACACCACTAAATTGGGTTCGATTGACAAGATTTTACAGAACCTCAAACTAAGCAAAAAAGGGGCACTTCTGGTAGTATCCCTACCCCTGGACGGAGAGACTCAGGTTCAAGTCCCACCTACTCCAGAGGTGTGTAATAACATCTCTGAACAGACTAATTAGGAAAAATAGATTAAATCATTTAAAAAAAACTAAGCAAAGAAAGTTTGAAGATTTAATGGCACCTGCTCAACCTTTAATGGAGTATTTCTGCTCCTTAGCAACTCAGATTCTGAAAGAGGAACGATTGAGTGCAAGCTGACAAACTGGAGCATTTATGAGGAAATCTCTCCTCATTCCATTAACCCCAAAAAAAGCTCAAGTACTCGATAAAAAATCTCCTTAACCCTTTCCAATAAAATTATCATTTTAACTATCTTACATTGTGTTAGCAACCAATGGTGGATAGTGATTGGGATAAAGTGCTACCCTGAATTCTTCTTTCTGCAGATTTTAAAATACAAACTCACTACCAAATTCAATGAAATTAGAATTTACAACCACAGGAGGCAAAGGAAATTCACAGCTTTTAAGTAGAATATCAGTTCAGGGAGGATGATGCACCCCAGCTCCCATGATGCCCACTGGTCGCAGAAGGTCTGAAGTTTTCTGATAGGCACTGTACGCTCTCTGTCCAAGTACACCAGATTGCAGATGTAACCACAGAATAGGGGCAGGTAGTCAGGTGCAACAACGCCCTACATGGTCCACTGCCTGGACCTAATCTCCCTTTCCACTCTTTAAAAAAAATGCTTAAACAAATTAGACAGGGTACTGGAACAAAAAAAAAACTAAAAACAGTTAATAGAAACTTACCAAAATTAAATCATTATTTCATTACCAGAGAA